GGGGGGGGACGGTTCGTTTTGGGGGGGAGGTCGGTGCGGAAGGGGAGGAGGGGAAGTTTGGTAACAGGAACAGATGATGAAAACATTTATAATTACTTATAATCCCAATCAAGGTACTTATAACCCTACTTACTAAGTCCCATGATCCTCCAGTTACTGTTCATGAACCCGTGGTCGACTCAGGCTGCTGCCGAGCGGATCATCACGATCTTCACGGCATCCTGCGCAGGTCGGAGGACAGACTCGGCGGGGGGTCCGTGGGGTGTGGTGGTGGTGTTGGTGTGTGGGGTGTGGGTTGTGTGGGGTGTGTGGGGGTGTGGGGTGTGGTGGGGTGTGGTGTGGTGTGGTGGTGTGTGGTGGGGTGTGGTGGGGTGTGGTGGGGTGTGGTGGTGGTGGTGGTGGTGGTGGTGGTGGTGGTGGTGGTGGTGGTGGTGGTGGTGGTGGTGGTGGTGGTGGGTGGGTGTGGGGTGTGGTGGGGTGTGGGTGTGGGGGGTGGGGTGTGGGGTGTGTGGTGTGTGGGCTGTGCGTTGTGCGCTGTGAGGTGTGGGGTGTGGGGTGTGGGGTTTGGGGCTGGGGGTGTGGGGTGTGGGGTGGTGGTGGTGGGTGGTGGTGGGCGGTGGTGGTGTGGTGGTGGTGGTGGTGGTGGTGGGTGGTGTGTGGGGTGTGGGGTGTGGGGGTGGTGTGTGGGGTGTGGGGGACACTCTCCCAGTGTCAGTTTCAGGCACTTTCTCAGTGCCAGTTTTGGCTCTCTCTCAGAGCCGGGACACTCTCTCAGTGCCCCGTGATTTTGGCCCTCTCTCAGGGCCGGGACACTCTCCCTGGTTTCGGTCCTGTCTCAGGACCGGGACACTCTCCCAGTGCCCCATGTTTCGGTGCTCTCTCAGCACCGGGATGCTCTCTCAGCACCCCTGCTGCTGGTGTCTCTCTCTCAGAGCCACGCAGCAGCCAACCCTCAACAAACCCCGTCCTTGCCGAAGTGCTCGTAGATGTTCAGTCAAAGATCACGAGTCGATGGCGAGACGGGGGAGTTTGGTGAGTATTAGGGCTTAGGGGTGGTGTGGCGCAGGGCTTATGTGGGTGTTATAATGATTTAAGTAATTAGGGTTTCGAATTTACAAATCACATATGGTCTAAGGGTCTAAGGCTCTTGTTTTAAAGGGCTTAGAGAGCTTAGGGCGGAACTTATTTGAGGGGTCTAGACGATTTAGGGCCGAGGATTCAGCGTTTTAGGGCATCCCAGCAAAGGTTTACGGGTTTTATTTAGGGATATTGGATTTGGGAACCACAAGCCACTGAAACTCCCAACCCCCTACATCAATGCCCCGTGCTAAAGCCACCCCCTTTTCATTGCTTTGGAAAACAAACGAAAACGATTTCCTTTTGATGCGTGTATCCAAATCCGGAATCCATCTTCTTTGTGTACTTGATTTCAAAGGGTTTTTCTTTCACTCGTTGTGAAACACACAAGATCAGGTGTCAAATCAGGATGATCAATTTCATGTGCAGTGCCATGCATAACAAAAACAAAAAAGAACAGAAGCCCTGAGAAAAGGGACGGATGCCACGAAAATCCTTTCATTCCGAGCCTGGGCGCCTGGCAATTCTGTGACGCAGGTCAGATTGAATGCATGATAGCGCCCAATCCGCGTTCCTTCTGCGATGATGGGTGATGTTGCGAAGGACAACTTCGTTCACGATGTCCCATCGATTGTGGATGAAGCTTGCACCCTTGGTTGGGATCAGGTCGAGAATCCCGCACCGGATTGGCCTTCCGCCGCCGATGCATTCGTAGCCTGCATTGGTGTAGCCCTGAATAGTGTCATCATATTCAAAGCTAGGACGGTCTCCTCGTTGAGGTAGGCGTCGGTCGCGATGGTCCGAAAGCTGCTCAATGAGGTCCACCACCCGCTGGCTATTCTCTGGTCCCATGTCCTGCAGTGGTACGCCACAAGCATCATGTAGCCCCCGACGGTTCTCCACATCCGTGCAGAGATTATGTTTGTTCTCATAACGGATCAAGACCACATCACCTCGTACGGCTTCGCCTCCGCGTCGCGGTCGGGCTTTGGCCTTGGGTCGTCGGTCCGAGGATGCAACACTCACATGGTCTGTGGTGTCAACGTCCATTGGCTCAGACTCTTGTTGAGGTACTCGACGTGGATATCGAAGAAGGCTTTCCTTGATGATCTGGAGGCCTCGAAGTACCAGATCCCGGGTCGCAGCATTTTCCGTGCAATTGGATAGATGGTGTTGATCACTGCCACAAGCGATACAGAACGTGAGGCGATCGTTTCCGACCGACATTTCGCCCTGAGCGAGTACTCCCACAGAGTCCTGAAGCTGCGCGACAAATCCTTCACGAATCATCTGCCTGGGATCAGGGCCTTCTGCACCTTGTTCTTCCTCGGGTTGCGCATCCACATCTACATCCTGTGCAGGTATTGGTGGAGCAACGGAGAACCCTGGATCGTCCGTGACGTTGTCAGCGGCCTGTGTCTCGTCGGTTCTCGCAATCTCTACGGGGTAGATATCACCATCGACGGTCACTGTGAAATCAATCACGAGGTCAGCGGACATGTTGTTGACGATCTCAGCGACTGCTTCATTCTTCTTGGGCGGTGTCCTTTTGCGTGGGGAGTCAACCGTGATCAGCTCGATGGCTTCGGCCGAAGCGTAACGGAAGAATGATCTTTCGATTCCCCTCACGCACGCATTTGCTCCCTCAAGGCCACCCCAATTCGGAAAATGACTTGGGTGTCTCATTGCAATTGTAAGAAGCCCGAGCGCCAGCTCCACCGTGTCACCCAGGAGTTCCTCCTTGGGCAAGGCTGACCCTCTGTAGCATTCTTGGCGCTCCTCCGGCGTCAAAAGCATTCTCATGAAACCAGCATAAGCGCAGTTCCCGGCATCGTAGTAGCAGATGTAGCATGTCTTGCCTTCGGAATCGTATCCTCTGTCCCATGCCAACTGTGTGGCCTTTCCCCATGCCGCGTACTCGATGGCCTGACTGGCTGTGATTCGGAGACCACCGTAGTGAGAAACCGTCTTGCCGATGTCTTCGTAGACCACTTCCGCACAAGCTTTGAGGAACTCCTTGATGTCCATGCGAGGGTCCACAAATTGAAGCCTCAGGTCATAAAGGTGCTTTGCGCAAGCCAAGGTGTACTTCTGGGACGCGACTAAGTCATTGAAGGAGCCGATTTGATGCTGCATCTTCAAGGCTGAAGTATGCGCGCACCCAATGCAGTGTCCAGGATACCCGTTTCCAGTCGGCTTGAAGAAGGCCTGTGCGTAGCACTCAGCCAACTTCATTGCGTCACATCCAGGGCAATAGAACGTTCTCCCTTTGACATAGCCGGTGTTCGGGGTCGCGTAGGTGTCGATCCGGAACCAGTAGTGCCTGTTGTCGTAGTAGGCTTCGGGGACGGTCATGGCGATGTCAAAGTCCTGCCAGGTGACTGTGGACGATTCAGCGACCGTGTCACCCTGGGCACCCGACCTGATCTGTTGCTGCTGTTCTCCCGTGAACCATGTCTGCGAAATCCTGGTGGACGTCTTGACTTCACTCTTGTCCTCCCAAATCTCGACAAGCGACGGGTGAGCGACTGAGTCGGCGCGGACAGTTTCGTCCCATGAGCGAACTTTCGATGCCTCAACAAAGCACGTGGATACCATCTTCTCGCAGAACAGCTGCTTCTCGTAGATAGCGAAGCCCAATTTGAACCTGACCCGATTGTCCGGTGCTGGCACCTTTTCGGCTGACAGTGTATGCACGCCTGACGACGCATGTTTCATCTGGCTGTACATTCTTGACCAAAACGAAGATCCATGAATCACCACGCATGCTCGGGCCCGCAACTCCAGTTCAATGTACATTCCCAGCGCGTGGAAACCGTTGAACAGAGAAGCTTTGTGCTGAAGGTAATTGCTAGCTGCTCCAACGAACCGTAAGTCGTGGTTGATGTTGACAATTGGAGGGCGCGTGGTACGCTTCCCTGCTGCAATGATAGGGTCAACGTACGTGATCTTGAGCTGTCGCTGCAAGTCAGTGCGAATTGCTGCTCCGTCTCCGACCTCACTCATCGGAAAGGACATGTTCTCGATGAGGATTGCCTGGAGAGACAGATGGTAATGCAGTGTGACGGTTGCAAGCTGCTCTTCAGTCAAGCCATCCAATGTCGCATTCACAGATTCCAACGATCCTTTTGTGACTTGGAAGTTGTAGTTGGCACCTGTGGTGATCGACGGGCTCACAATGTAGATCTCGCTCCATCCATGCATGCCGAGGTTCTCTCTCACCGTGTGCGTTGATCCCCTGGTCCTTGCGACCATGTCAAAGTCCTGGACGAGGATTGTGCACTGAGAGCGCATAGTCGCGGCATCAGGTTTGCCACCCATACCCAAACTATTGCGAAATCCGTTCAGCGTGTTCATGGTGTTGATCCTTGCTTCTTCCGGAATGTCATCGTTGTCGACAAGATCGCGATCTGCCTCGATCATCACTGCCGAGGTAAGCATTGGAGGAGAAGGAAGATGCACGCATGATACCAATGCCAA